CAGATCCAGACAAGTTTCTCACCACTGACTCCCATTGGTCCTTCTGCTTTCTATTGCTTTCTCCAGGACACAGACCTGGTATAGCAGGTAGAGTGTTGCCATTGGAATGAGGAACCCAAATCCTCCTTCAAACCAATATTTATTAGCTTTGAGACCATGAGCAAGTCAAAGAAACTCTCTATGGTTCAGTTTCTTCATTTGTGAAATAAGGAGGTTGGACTTAATGGTCTCTAAGGTCTGGCTCTAAATCTATGACTATAACTCTGGTTTTGCCAAGTGGATTAAGATTAAGTAGGGTCTTTGGCATTTCTGAGTGATGGGGATCGGTAGGAAGGTGCCGATTTTTTGGTGGAGGATTAGGGGCAAGCACCAATGACTATATACTGTAGGCCAAGGAATTTCTTTCTCAAGATCCCATTGTAAACTGTAGAAATGGGACCTTGAAGTCAAAGAAGCCATACATTTATCTAAATAAAATAATACCTAACCAACTGATAGCCAAAATCTTCACACAGAGAACAAACCCTGGGAGAAAAGAAGGCTTCCACTTTGCTTTTCTAATTCAACAAGTTAACAAACATTTATTAAGAGCCTACTAAACTCCTACTATGAATATTGAAGCTATTAAGCCAGGAGATGGGACAACTTCTATCACCCAGGCTGCACAATCCTTTTTCTTTTTTAGGCAATTGGGGTTAAGTGACTTGTCCAGGGTCACACAGCTAGTAATTGTGAATTGTTTGGTCTGAGGCTGGGTTTGGACTCAGGTCCTCCTAACTTCAGGGCCGGTGCAGTATTCATTTTATTTGTTTATTTATTTATTAAAATTAATTTGTTTTGATTAATCAACAATCACTTCCATAAGCTTTGAGTTTTAAATTTTTCTGCCCCTCCCTCTCCACCTCCCTGCCCAAGATGGTGCATGATCTGATATAGGCTATACATATACATTCCTATTAAACATATTTTCACATTAGTAATGAGCAGTACTTATTTTTAAAAATACATTCTTATTGATACCTTTTGTGTTTTACAAATAACCCTTTCCTTCCTGTCAACAAAACAAGGAGGATTTATTTATTAAATGCTTATTATGTGCCAGGTATCACCTCCTCCCACTTCCCAGAGAGCTACCTTAAATAACAATTCTTTTAAAAGAAAAGGATAATTTTGGCTCATGTGACCAATAAAATGGAGGACTAGATACTTTATCTGATTCTTTCAACCTCTCTCACACCTTTTAAGAATAGGAATTATGCATGAGATAAAGCAATTTCAATTGTCTCAACTGTCTTAGTCACCAAAAACCCCAGTGAATTAACAGCAGAGCAGAAAGGCTTATTCCTAATCCCAAACATTTTTGCTCAGCACTCCCTTTCCCATCAGCCACCATGCTCTGTCAGGGCTGAACAAACTGACCCAGAGGTTTGCAACAGAAATCAACATTCTTTCTTTTCCTCAAACCAAAGAAAGCCAAAAGGCAGAACTTTGCTCCTGCTGGGACTGCAGTATGATTGAACTCTGTACTGCAGTAGTACTTAGAGTAATACTTAGAGAACTGAGGAATAGAGCTTCAGGAAGCTTGAAGGAAAGAATCCAACATCCAGCTGGGCTCAGTTTTATCCCCTTAGAAGTCACTTGGGTTAGAGAACTTGGCCAGTGAAATGTTAATTCCCCAGTGAGAGAGGAGATTAAGACAGCTTTGAAGTCCAACCTTCAGAATGACCACCATCAAAGGAGAAGGAATCAGAAAATGAGAGAAAGGAGCATATAATGAAAACATCAAAATTACCTAAAATATGAGTGGGAGAAAACTCAATTAAAGACCTTGACCATGAGGGGATAAACCAACAGGGAAGATATTAATAGCAGGAGGGAATATGACTTCCAGATTAACAAAATTAATTCAGATATCTATGGATAATACTGCAAGACAAAGGAAAGTGAATCAACACCTAATGAGGCAGAAAGCCCTATGTATTCCCAAGAAAGAATGGAAACACAGAAAAGTGTCTCTTAATTGTTAGAAAAGAGAAATAAGAATTATGAAAGCAGAATTTATGGCCTACACAGAAGAAATAAAAAATCAGGAAAAACAACAACAACAACAACACAAATCCATACTAGTAAACTTGCCAAAGAGAAAAAAGAGAGAAGGACTGATTAGGAATGCAAATACACAGATGTGAAGCACAATCTGGAAGAAGAGAAGTGAAAAGCAATAATATTAAAAGAAAACATGATCTCTGTATAAGCAAAGCATATTGATCTAGATAGGATGCATAGAGACAATTTAAGGATTATAGATTTTGAAGGACATAATGAGTGAAAAAAAACCCCACCAAACCAAACCCAAAGCCATAATTCAAACAGTAATACAAGAAAACTACCCAGAACTTCTGAACACAGAAAACAAAGTGTCAATTTAAAGAATCCACACATAAACTCTAGTAAAAACAAACAAACAAACAAACAATGTGGCAAACTCAAAGACAAGCAATATTTCAATTTAACAATTCTAGTAACAAAGAACAGATTCTGCAAGCAACCAGGAGAAAGAACTTCAAATATAAATGAAAGGAAATTCAAATAACACAAGACTACTCTGTACCTACCAGAACTACAAGAGGAAAAGGAACAACGTATACCAAGAAGAAAGGACCTCAAGATACAACCCAAGGTGACATGCTTTGCAAATCTGAGCCTACTCATTAGTGAAAAAAGATGGACATTCAATAAAAAAAAGTGGTGTTAAAATCGTGCCTGAAAAGAAAACCCGAACTGAACATATTGTTTGCAAATACCTCAGACAACAGAAACATAAGAAAAGTCAATAAATATAGCATCCAATGAAGGGACAGATAACAAAATAAGTTACCTAGAAAAAAGAACAAAAAGCTAAAAAGATAATGGCATAACTCAATAATAAGAACAACAACAACAACAAAAAAACCAAAAGAGAGATCATTAAGAGATTTCTTCCAAAGTACATAAGGAGACAAGAGTGAAAGTGATGGTGCAACAGACTTGATACAGCATCTCATAACAACTTGCCTGTAGATGAATCAATGTTATTTGTGGGACTAAATTGAAGAATTGTGAGGCACTTTTATAAAAGGGAAGAAGGGAGAAAGAAGATAGAGAGGAATATGTAACATACTCCAATCAAACCAAAGGTTAACAATGAAGACAAAATAACTCCTGTAGTCTCTTCGGAAGAAGAGGGCCTGCAAGAGAATAGGTGAGAAGGCAAAGGGAATGACTGAACTAGAGAAAAATTTTTTTTTCAGTATTTGGGAAGGGGTTCCACTGACGGATGAACGGTCCTATGGAGGAAGAGAGATATCCTATAAATTGAGATGGGGACTTTATAATGAGTATGGTTTGTAGAGATTTTGTGCTTAGTGGCACCATGCATCCTACCTTAGAAGAAGGGGAATCAGAGATCCTGGGGGTATCTGACACTGAGAAGAGTGGGAGAACACGGACTTACAGAGGAGACTTCATGGAAAATAGGAAAAAAGCGATCATGGAGGAGGGTGAAGAGTAGTAATGAATGGCATAATCAGGTACATAGTAAAATTTCTACCATTGAGAAATATTTCTATACTTTCTTTCACCTGAAGGAATTGGGTATTTCTAAGAGTGAGGCAACACACATACACACAAATGAGACCAGATGACAAGATCTACATGGTAATAACAAAGGAACAATTCAGAAAAGGAAACTCAAGATAGGAACCTTGGAAGCCTTAATTCCACTAGGAATATAAAGACTAAAGAAGGAATAAATAAGCATAAGGCCATGAACCAAAGAATAAAATCTAAAATAGACAGAAATGAAGGAGAAATAACTATGAGAAGGAGGGAAAGAAATCCTTTCCAGAAAAGGATGCAGAAAATGAAATTTAAAAAATTAACAAACAAAATAACCTGAAGAGCAGAGGAAGGATATTTTAATTGAATACTTAACTGAATAAAAATAGGGAATATTTAGAGAACTAGATAAAAGGAAAAAAGGAAAATGAACTAGTTCCAAAGTTTTCTTCTTCCCTCCCTTCCTCTCCTGTCTCCCCAAGACACATATTCAATCACATTAAACATATTTCCACATTAGTCATGCTGTGAAAGAAGAAACAGAACAAAAGGAAAAAAAAATGTAAAAAAAACCATAAAGAAAGTTAAAATAGTATGCTTCAATCTTCATTGAGACTCCATAGTTCTTTCTGTGGATGTGGATAACATTTTCTATCATGAGTCTTTTGGAGTTGTGTGTTTTGGATATGACGACTTTCCTTTGTATTTGTTGTTGTTCAGTCATTTCAGTCTTGTCCAATTCTTTATGACCCCATTTGGGGTTTTCTTGGCAAAGATACTAGAAGGGTTTGCCATTTCTTTCTCCAGATCATTTTACAGATGAGAAAACTGAGGCAAATGGTTAAGTGACTTGCCTAGGGTCACACAACTAGTAAAGTGTCTGGGGCCAGATTTGAACTTGGGAAGATGAGTCTTCCTTTCTCCAGGCTTGGTGCTCTAGCCATTGTGCCCCCTAAAATATCCTTCTCAGAAGAGATCTGTAGGGTACACCAAAAAAAAGTTAAGAACATGGAAATAATAGCTCATATCTCCCTAATACTTAAGATTTACTAAGCAGCTTTTTTTTTGTCATACCAATTTTGTAAGGTAGGTCAGGCAAGCATTATTATCACCATTCTATAAGATGATGAAACTAAGGACATAAAGTGAGAAGTGAAGTGAAATGTCCAAGGTCACACAGCTTGTAAATATTAGAATCAGAATATGATTCCACCTACCTATGCTACCTGAACCAGCTAAACAGTCATTGAGAAAGTAAATTAGCTTCTAAGGGTAGTTAGATAGATCTAAGTGATATGTTGTTTTAGAGACAGAGAAGTCAAGTGTCTTGGTTTCCAATCAATCACACAATGCTTTTATTAAGTACCTAACATATACCAGGGTCTGTGTTAGGCAGTGGGGTCATGAATTCAAAATTAAGACAGTCCCTACCCTAAGGAAACATATTCTACTAAAATGATTTTCACTGGAGACAGAGACAACCTTCATTTAGATGCTGGAGATCAGTGATAGGCTTTTGAGTCATTTGCCCGAATTTACACAAGCCTAGGCAAGGTTTTGGGTCTGGAGTCAGTTTTCTTCTCCATGTTGTGGTACTCCACAGTAGTACACAGCTGAATCTTCTTGCTCCAGGTTTTCAATTTCTAAGTAGAGTAGGTTGCTGGAGGTATGTATGGATATGAAGGCTCTCCTTTGCATTGTCTTTGGGGTATATCCATTTTCTCTATTACCAGACATAGAGCTTATATACTCCAGCGTCTTTCCCTGTACCTGGCGGTACCAGTACATAAAGGCATTTTCAATTTGGATTCCTGATACTTTGCAGGAGAGACGTACAAACTGTCCAATTTCTTTTATCTCATTTCCACTTTGCTCCAACTTAATTTGTGCCCAAACACCTGAAAAAACAGAAACATTGAACCAGGCTCTCTCCTCTTACCAAGAACATGTGAATTCAATTTCAAGTTGAGCTGTCAAAGTAATTTTCCCTAAATGCAAGTCTGACCATATGACTTTCTGCTCAATCTATCCAGGGGCTTCCTTTTACATATGGAATAGATGGCAAATTCCCTTGTTTAGCTTTTAAAGCCCTACACAACTGGACCTCTACCACTCTTTCCAGCCTTAACGGACATTAGTATCCCCATGGCACTTTGTGATGCAACCATATTGGCTTCTCTGTTTCTCACACACAACACTCCTTTTTCCATTCCTTTTGGCTGCCTGTCTTATTTGCCTGGGATGCTATCCCTCCTTCGCTCCACCTCTTAGAGGCTTCCTCTTTCAGATTCAGCTTAGGTACCATATTCTGGATTAAAAACTTTCTTGACATTCCCAACCACTAGTATCCTTCTTCCCAAGCTACTTTGTATTTAATCAATTTGTATAAATTTGCATTCATGCTACTTACTTACCTATGGATGTCTTGTCTCTCCCATTAAAGCATAAACTCTCTGTGAGTAGGGAGTGTTTCATTCTTCCTACTTGTATGCCTAGTACCTAGAATAGTGCCTGACACGTATTAAATCCCTTAATAAATACTTTGATTAATTGATCAATTGCTTGATTGCATGGGATAAAGTGCTGAAAATAAAAATTTTCCTTGTTACTGGTAATTATGGAGTGTTGAATTGATGGTAGTTTTGCTGTCACCATCTAACATCTGGCAACCTTTCCCTTCTACCCACTACTCCAGAAGCAGGACACTTGGAAATCTCCCAGGTCTGAGCCAGGTCCTTCAGAGAACCTTACCTTTGTAAAGACTCAGGATGACAGTGAGAGTCAGGTGAAATCCCATACTAATGCCTTGAGAACAGGTTGTAGGGAGGTCGGCCCACTGCAGACACATAAGTGATGGTGTGGTGTCCCAGACTTATGGTGATATGAACAGGAAGGTGGAGTGGTATGTGACTCAAACAGGAAGTGGAAAGAGTTGGTTTGCATCACATTAAGACATATTACTTCAATGTTAAGAGGGAAATGGCTCAGAGTCCAGAGCCCAGCATGCTTGTAGTTGGAGGAGGTCAGGTTGATGGAACCACAAAATGGAAAGTGGAAAGATAGACTAGAAAGTCTTCTATGCAAAGAGAGTAGCAAAAACTCGAGTTTCTTTAAAGAGATAATGTCAGTAGAAAAGGAGAGGTCCAAGATAAAATGTCTCCAGATATTTAAGAAGAGAGGCCTGAGAAGAAACCAAATGAGTGTTTGGATGCAAAATAGCAGTCACATTGGCAACACCTTTTGCTTGCATTGTGTTTAACTAATCCAGAGCTCCCAACCCTTTTGAAATTCCATCTATGAACCCCTAAAGCAGTTTAGTGCAGAGGATAGTGTTGGAGCAACACTGTTCCTGAAGAATCAATAGGAAACAGATCATCTAACTTATCCATGGATATTGCAAAGGATAAAGAAAAGGTGATCAATTCTGAATGGGCAGGTAATAGCAGTGAACATGGAACATTTCTATTTTTGTATCTCAAGCACCTAGAATGAAGCAGGATCTTAATAAATGTGTTTTTATTAATTCATCCAAAATAATTACCTTGGAAAAGAGTCAGAATAAGGATGAATCCTGCCCTAAAGAGTATGTTGGTGACCTGAAGTCAAGCTTGAGATTGGGAACATGACCAGCTGAGAAGTATGGCTTCTTTCTCCTCTCCTACAACTGCCAGACAAAGACCTTGGCAGAAGCTCAACAGGAAACAGAGTTGCTCTATTTGCATATCCTTTTTTCATACTGAGAAAAAAACCTCAACTTCGAGTTTTAGAGACTCAGGATGAAGCTGGAGAAAGGAGGAAGGAGAGAAGAGTCCTGGAGAGGAAAGTGAGAGAGAATCCGGGGTTTAAGACAGGTGTCGAATTCCAGGTTCCACTTCATTGGCCATGAATGTATTTCATTTGATTTCTTTTTTATATAACAGCTGCATCGTCTCTCCAAAGAACATGCCCTTGGAAAAAGGGAATTTAATTCTATGAATTAAATTCTCAGTGGACTGAGCCAGGTAGGGATCTATTCTTTCAAAAGCTGTTAAGCTGAATTCTTTTAACCATAAGATGCTTCTGGTTTTTCCTTGCTGGGCATGGCTTCTTTGGAATTTAATTTTCTTTCTGTATCCAGGGATTCTTGAAGTGGGGTCCATGAATTTGTTTTTGTTTGACAACTATATTTCAATATAATTACCTTTCTTTGTAATCTTAAGTTTTTTATTTTATGCATTTAAGAAGATTATTGTGATAAGGACTCCATATGCTTCACTTGTCTATCAAAGGAATTCATGATGATAAAAAGGTTAAGAACCCCTGGTGTAAAAAGGATACTTCATTCTGTGATCTGCTGCTATCAGTGGGTGAGAGGGGTTCATCTCCAAAGTCAAAAGTTTTCTCTCTTCTCTACCTTACGTCTCCAGTTCATGCTCTGACCACAGGGACATCCTCCACCTTATCTTTGTCCATTAGCTTCATTTATTTCCAAGGGCATGGGAACAGTCAGGACTGAATCCATCAAGATGAATTTGCTCTTCACACTTTGTATCTAGCAAAGTTGCATCTAGAACCCTTCTGAGCACAAAGCAACCTTACTTCTCCAATACTTTTAAGACTGCTGATTTCACCCGGAATGTGTTTTGCAAAGGAAGGCACTATGGAACTGTGAGTTATTATTATTATTTATCCACATGGGAGCTTCCTTCAGCAATGCAGACTTCAGTTCTTTGGCACCTTTGTAGATAGATGGTCTTCATGAGTTACTCTGACTGAAAAGTGGCTCATCCTTTGATGACATGCCCCTCCAAAAAATAGCTAGGCTGGTACTCCAGCTACAGTCATGAAATCTGTCCCTGGGTTGATACCTGAAGCTTTTCTAATTTGATAGGACCTGGAAAGGCTTATACTCATCTAGAATAGTCTGAAAGGGTCTATGTTACCTCTATGCTATTATGAAGGATCAGAGTAAGACTTTAGAAGAGGATAAGATAGCCATTTTTCCTAGAGAACACCTACATTATGTCTTAACATTACCTAAGTAGGATCATAAAGATGGAAGAAGCCTCTAAGGACATTTGGTTCAATCCCTTTATTTTACAGAAGAGGAAACTGAGTTCCAGAGGGAATTAAGTGATTTACCTAAGGTTGCACAGGTAACAAGAAGCAGAAGCAGGATTTGAACCTAGGTCCTCTATTCCAGATTTTGGAGTTCACTGTATTGTATTGCCTCCAATAAGAACAAGCAGCTTGAAAGGGATCTACTTAGATTCACCAGTTTTTTTCTTACCTCTGCCCTGAATTAGGCTTTCAGACCTGTGCTTTGATGATGGAGGACCCTGAAGGGTGGATTCATGGAGTTCTTACTGCCCTGTCTGGTTGAGGGAGGTCCTTATTTCCTTGGATGCGCATGAGAGTGAAGACACATTGCTTAGATACAAGGCTAGGGAGTCTTCTCTCCCAGATCAACAGAAGATTACCTTACTTTGCAAATTTTCTTATAAAATAGAGAAGAGATCATTCTAGCCCTGAAAGGTCAAAGTAGCTGAATATAGGTTGGTGTGCGGAAGCCCTTGGGGCCAAAGCTGAATATGGAGAGGGGAGTCTCATTGGCCAAAACTTGTCTCAGGTATATTTACGCTGAATCAGATGGAAAACTGTGGGACTTGGGGGAACAAAATACCCTCTCCTCATCAGCACTGGTGGAAAGGGTGCAGAATAGATCAAGATGGCTAAATGGCATAGAGGAAGCACTAGACTTGGAGTTAGGAGGCCTGAGGTGAGATGCTGGTTCTGATACTTACTAACCATGTGTCCATGGACAATCCTGTCATCTTACTGAATCTCAGTGCTCTTGTTTGTAGAATGGGGATAATATTGTACTTCCTGCCTCACATATTTGGTATGGGAAAGTGCTTTGCAAACCTTAAAGTGCTTTATAAGTTGCTGGAGAGCAAGAAAAATATTGTGATGGTGTTTTGTCTTTACACACTTTTTTACTGTATTCTGAAAAAAGGGAAGTATACAGAGGGTCCAGGCAGTAAGAACATTCTTGATATTTTGAAGTATGTTGCAGTAAAAAGATGCCAATAAAATCTTTTGGTTTTCAGAAATGACAACAACAAGGTGTAGTTGAAAGAGACAGAAGTAAGATTGATGTCAGAGGACCTGGGTTCAAATACCATTGTCGACATTTTCTAGCAGTGCAACCATCGACAAGTCATTTAACCTCCACCAACCTGACTTTTCTTATCTGTAAGACAAGGGTAATAATACCTATAGTACCTTGTTCTTAGAGTTTTTGTGAGGCTCAAATGTAAAGTACTATATAGATGTCAGTTATCATTATTACTATTATTTTTGTGCTTTGGACTCAGTACTGACTCAGGACCATGGCAAATCAGGTGGTAGCCCAGAGCTCCATCTCCTAAAAGGAGTGCCAAAATGGTATCTCTTAAGGGAATGCTATATCTATACATATCTAGAATATATATGTCACATACACTTACATATATAGTATACATATATATATAGCATACATACATATATATATAGACACACACACACACACACACACACATATATAGTATAAATGTGCCATTGTTATAGCTGTATAGTGATAAAGAACTCTCAGTGTTCAGGAGATTTTTTTCACCCAACTTTATTTTGCTTACATTTAAAAGCATTTGTCTACTTGTAACTGCAGAATTAATGTTCATCATTTTCCTTATGAGAGATCCAGAAGTATAGTTATTAAACTATACTTTGAACTCTCTACTCAATTTTCCATTTCTCTTCTTAGCTGGGCAGCTCAGGACTGTAGGAAAACTCTGATCCCATGGGAAGGGCTGACCAGTTCTTACAAATACTGAGAGGATGGCCTATAATCACTATATCATATAGTGGAGTGAGCAACATACTAGAATTCAGAAGAGGTGGATTTGATTCCCAGTCCTTCCTCTTACTAGAATTGTGTTGAATGGCAAATCTTTTCTCCTTTAATTGTGTTAAATGGGATCATTCTTGCTTCACCCAATTCACAGGACTGTTTGTGAGAAAGCTGCTTTGTAAGACTTAATTTGCTTTTGAAACATGAAACTATTATGTTTACTTTTTAGAAGCAGCACTGCCATATTCCTGACTCTGCTATGTTTTGAAAGAAGAGGAACTTCAGTTCTGATTGGAGAATTGGAGCCTGCCTGACAAGATACCCTATAGCTCTGTTTCCAAAGGCAGAGGTCACAGGCACAGTACTAGACAAGGGAGGGCAGCAGAAGAGGTCCATGTGAGGAGAAGAATCCAGGCTGAGATATGAACAAAGATGACAATATTTTTTATTCGTTTATTCAACAAAAATTTCTTGAGTCCCTGCCATGTATTGGGAGCTATTATGGACCCTGCGGGAAGGATACAAAGAATGGTATTGTTAGAAAGGGGTGGTTAGGTGGCACCATAGTGCATAAAGCACTGGGCCTGGAGTCAGCAAGACTCATATTCCTGGGGTCAAATTTGGCTTCAAACACGTATTAGCTGGGTGACTCTGGGTAAGTCACTTAACCCTGTTTATCTCAGTCCCTCATCTGTAAAATGAGCTGGAGAAGGAAATGGCCAAATCACTCCAGTATCTTTGTTAAGAAAACCACCAACGGGATCATGAAAAGTCAGACATGATGAAACAATTCAATGAACATAGGCTCTGTTGCCCAGGAGCAAACTCCAGATGAGGCTCCGTAATGCCTCTATTGTGAAATCCAGTCTCTTCTATTGACATTTAAAGCCCCTACTATCTGACTTCAGCTACTATTACAGGCTTATCATGCCTTACTCTTTGTGTGACCACATATTGATCTTGGTTCATTCACATGTTATATTCTACCTAC